AATATTCAGGCATGGTCTAGTTGCAATATAAAAAATATTTCCTCCATGCTGTGAGATTATCTAAATAAACTACATCAACCCTTCCTAATCAGAGAGTTGTGGTGTTATTTTTAAACCTGCCAAAATTTTTTAAACCAAATGGTGTGGGATATTACGGTTATGGGGCCTCAAAAGAGTTATTTGTCTCTGTTTATTTTATTAAATATTCCTAGACATACCCTTAGGATGACAGATCAATAAGTGCCTTTGCGGTTTCCTGATAGAAAGCAGCAATTATTTTCTTCCATTACAATATAAGCATAACCCAATTTTACTCATCTATCATGTGTGTAATGGTAATAAAGAAGCATCACCATGTGTTTATTTTACTGTCACTTTATCTTTTGTTTTGGCGATCTTCTGTTTTCATTTCATGTTTTTCCAACTGTTTGTGCCTTTCATTTGACCGGAGTGGCGACCAGTTTGTCTTGCTTTAGGACACTTGTTGGGAATACCATAGCAAAAGTCTGTCTGTGGTTTCTCTTTTCCTGTAAGGTGAATGGAGTACTTTAGATTTTTGTCTGAACTTACCTGCAGAATTAAAAAAAACCACTGGAACTTTACAGAGCTGAACTTGGATTTCATTTTTAGAGGTGTTTTTCCATGGAAGTCAATAGTGATTGAAGTTGGGTATCAGAGGAGAATTAAGCTCACAATCGTTTAGCACATAAGAGACACAGAAAGGTGAAACAATGCCCATAAGATTATGATCTAACTAATGACAATTGAAATGTATAGTTGAGACCGTCAAGGCTAAACTCAACCCATCTTCCTCACTTGGGGAATCACATTTAATCCATGATAGAGGTGCACACTACTGGACTATTTCTGCAAATGAAGCAAGCAGCATTTGTCTCCTCATCTAAGTACTCCTCTGCTTTGAGAAGTACCACACCGGGCTGGTAGTGACTAACTGACCAAACAAACTCTGCTAAAAGCCTGCATCCAGTTTTCTCGTCATTGTGGGTGAGGAGATTCCTGAACAGTGATTCAAAACCCTCCACAGCAGCTACCTCTCGGATATTCTTGTCCTGACTTGGGCAATGAAACCCCTTTACTGTGACTCCAAATTTTTCTTTTAATTCAAAGCCAGTTCTGTTTCCTCCTTGCTGTCATTGAAGTGACAGCCAGCTCTTCACTGAAGGAAATTATTAGGAAGCGCTAACTGGTCACAGCTCCTCTGAGGTACATCTGATATCAATCAGATGCGCCATTGGATTCACTTTTCCTAATCCTGACTTCAGTGAGTCCAGGCTTTGGCTTATTATGTATTTCACTTAAACACAACTGGAAATGTTTTATTTTGATCTTATGTGGTTTTCCATAAGCACTGGAATAAGCGAAGCACAGTTGTGTCTGGATTTATACCTTGTGGTTGGTTAACTTTGCTGGCCAACTAAGGTCTGAGGGAGACTTTTCCCATGGGTGAGCAATACCGGCTTTGGTGCCTGTGAGTCCTTCTGATATTTATAAAGGGGTTCCTTATACTTCATTGGCTTCCACAGCCTAAGCATATATTGGATCTGTCTCTGGATTCACACCTAGATTCGCATCTTTAAGATTTTTTATTGTGGAGGTTGTCAGGACAACTAACAGAAAGACAGGCATACAATAGCATGACCACATAAACTTCATTCCTTTAGGAAACAAGGCTAAAAGTTAACAAATATTGTCAACCACACTGAGATGAGTTGAAGTATTTCTTTTTAAATGCTTAAAATCTGAGAAGAATGGATTGAGGAAGTGTTTTGGATGTTTTATTCTGGTTTATTTTGGTCTACTTCTACCTTTAGCAGCCTCAGACTAAACAGTCCTGAGGGACAGCCACTTAAAAAGATGGACTACCCAAAGTCCAACAAAATTATGTACAATTGTCTTGTGGGACTTTTTTTGATAACATGAAATAGCCTTCATCAATCAGACTCTAACTGTAAATTATCAGATAGCACTCCCTTGCAAACATTGCTAGAGGCTCATTTTTCTTTTTAATGTTGAAGTTAGTGGTATACCATATTCACTGCTGTACTCTTTTCACTCTTATGACTTAATCTCACAGTGGTCAGTGCCTTTCACTTGCATCAGTGGTCTGTGGTTTCATTCTTTCAACATCAAAGAGAAAGATCATCTTGGCTACATTACAAAAAGCAAGTTTTGAATTTTGCCAAAATAAACTGTGACAAACTCTCACAGTTTATAAAAGCTTTCTTTTAAGTTGAAGGTGACTTACAAAGGGGAAAAAATGGGTTATGCCCTCACGTACGTTTTTATCATGTACAAAAAAAAGGGCCTTAGAAGAGTTGAGGGGTTTCGGCTTCTTTCTTTTTTATTATTATTTTATATCCTGCAAAATCAAGGAAGACCAGAGTTGACATCCCTGACACAAGCATAAGCATAAGATATAACGGGCTTCCCTTCTTCAGCCTGCTTCTTCCCTTCCTTCACCTTCCAACCTTGCAGGTCTATTTTACACACCTGAGAAAAACAAGTGTAGAAAGGACGCCTGGCAAATTCTTGCCAATCTTTTTGGCCAATTGAAACCTGAAAAAACTCAGGGGACACTTTTCATTGGAGCCTTAATAAGTCCTCTGGATTAAAGCAAAAGAAATGGAATGGCAAAGCTTGACAGTCTTGATATTTCAGTGTTAAGCAAACAATCAGGACAGGAATTTCTGACTGCCTTTATGCCATTTAAAGGAACCACAAGAAATCACAGAAACATTTTCCCCTTTATCAATTTAATGTAGCAGAAATCAGAGTTCTGATGACATTTCTTGAAAATGGGCAACTATAATAAACCGTCTGCAGTATAAGACATTCAGTTCTGATATGCAAAGCAGCAGCAGACTCTGGAAAAGCTTTTGAAACAGGAAAGTACTTCCCAGCATGTGAAAAGTGGCAAATTATTCTGTCAATATTTTAATGGTATACTTTGCTATGAAAAGATCACCTTATGAAACAGGTGTATAGGCAAGAACAGAATGAGATAAGTTAAAGGCCACAAGCTTTAAAGTCAGTCACTCACAAATAAAATGCCCTGGGAAAAAGGAAAAAAAGTACTTTCAGAGAAGAACAATGTTCATTGTTAAAAACGAACTGAAAAATAATAAAAAAAAAAGGATATTAAGGAATGAAATGAAAAATTAGGACAGCAATAACACAGTGAAGAAAGATAAGAAGTTGCTGTGCTGAATGTTTGCTAACTTCTTTTTAGTTCCTGAAAATTGCCTTCCCCCCTCCAAAAAAAAGGGAATAAACTGCTAGGTCTGTTGTGGTTGCTATATCAGCATCCACTGGCAATGCCTACATCTGAGTTTAACACCTGGAGCCTGCGATAAGCAGTCGTCCCCTGAATGCCAAGGCTGTTGTGATGATGCTCAAGATAGGGTTGGACCCCCCTCTGAGCACCTTCCCGCTCCTGGGGAGAAGACACAGCAGCTCTGTAATGGATCCTTCTCCCCAGAACCCCCAGTCTCACCCCTGACAGCAAAGTGCAGCCCTTCTCTTTCACGCAGGAGGTTCCCACCTCCAACCAGGGCATGTACCCTGTCCTGACACCCTGTGCTGGGCAACCAGGCTGAGGAGGACTCCGGTGGTATCGGGGTGATGAAGACCTGCGGTTCCCACCCTCACCAGGAGACATCCCAACAACGGGGCACAACAGATCCCATCAAGCCCAAATGCAGGCTGAGCTGTTGCTCAGTCCCGACACAGGGCTCACACTGGCTCGCGAGGCTGAGCAGAGCCCCACCATAATGGCTCTGGCCCTGCCCCCTGGGAAATGACAGCGTGTCACTTCTGAGCTCCCGTTTTCTTGTATTTGAGAAAAGAAAGCTCCCCAGAGGTGACATTTAAGGCCCTGCTGTGTAAGCAGGTACAATTCAAAGCTCTAGCAGTTTATGTTTCAAAATAGAATCATAGAACAGTTTAGGTTGGAAGAGACCTTAAACATCATCTAGTTCCCACCCCTGTGCCATAGGCAGGGACACCTCCCACTAGACCAGGTTGCTCAAAGCCCCATCCAGCCTGGCCTTAAACACCTCCAGGGATGGAGCTTCCACAACTTCTCTGGGCAACCGGTTCCAGTGCCTTACCACCCTCAGAGTGAAAAATTCCTTCCTAATAGCTAATCTAAATCTACCCTCTTCCAGTTTAAAGCCATCCCCCCTCGTCCCATCAATAAAATAAATGTTTAAAATACTCGATTCCCTGATTATGTATTTCCTTTACAAGAGCTGAAACCTGCACAGACACTTGCAAGAAGGGAAGAAATAACTTCTGTGCTTCCTTCGCTGGCAATATTTCAGGTGGCTCGAAAGCAGCAACCACCTGAACACATGGTGTACAGAAAGGCAGCCCTCCCATCCCAGACTACCAGCATCCTCATTCAGATACACTTCTCACAGACACTTCTTTCATTAAGAAAACTGATTGCAGTGGGACCGTTTATGTATCGAGCATGAGTAATTGTATTACAATCTGGCTCTTCATGGCATGTTCCAAACCAGCTCTTTCATTTTTTTCCAAAGAGGGCAGTGATTCAGCATTAACACAGTTTAAAGTCTGAATGATATTTTCAGGGACTCCTCAGTGCACATGGATACGGATATTAATGAATACTTTTTTTGAGATATTGAAAGAAAAAATTGCCTAAATGTTCCATTTATCTGCATCACAGTCTCTCAAGAACACAGAAAAATAACTACTTACAAATAAAATAAGAAAAAGGATTTTTTTTCCCAGTTCCGCTTATACTTTCTTCGCACCATAAGGACCTCAGTGATTTTCATAGTCAATTTACAGGAACTAATCCTTACAGAGATGAATCATCAGCAATGTGAAATAATCTGAATTGATCAGGGACTTACACTTCGTAAGTGAAACTGAGGGGACGGCTACCAGGCTATGGAGTATGCAAAGAGAGAACCAGAGTCACACAATGTAAGAAATTAATTGTCACTTACCCTGTTCAAGCAGTATTTGCTCTCTTTCCTGTAAAAGTGCTGGAGACATTTCATGTTCTGCTTGTCGACAATCTTGTTGAAGAACTCATTGATGGTCCGCACGGAGACGGCGCAAACAGCAGATCTGTTGGTTGGCTCAGAAGAGTCTGGTTTGCTTTGTGCAAAAACGCCGTAGAGAATATCATCGCTCAACCCGAGGCCCATTTCGTGGGCTAGAGCTGCACCTGGCTTGCTTACGTAGGCAGCTTGCAAAATGTTGAATACCTCCTTTCGGATGGACCTCTTCCTCCGCTTTTCGGTAAAGATACACTCAAGAGGCATTTCCATGTAAGAACGCATCTCTGAGTCTAAAGTGCAGAAGCGGATAATTCTAGTGTGAAAAGCCTGGGAGTCAAGAGATTCTCTCTGAACAGTCAGAAAATAGACAAAGTGATCATTTTCAAAGGCATGGACATACCTAATGGGATATGAGTCGCGGAACTGAGGGAGGATATCTATATAAGACTGATCTGTGAGAAATTCAAAACCGTCCTGTGTTTCTTTTAACCTTCTAACTGATATTGAATGAAGTACATGAGGAGGCTGAAATGTAGACGCCACAGTATTTCCAACAAAGAAGTTGACAAACCTGTCCTTTTCAGTCACCAAAACTTTGGTTCCTAAAGTGCTTACAACACAGTCAGGACAATTATCTGCTTCTCCGTCCACCCGGGGTGAATACATGCAGTGCACCTCGCTTTCGATGTCAGCAGGGTTGTCAGGGTGAATGATGTGACGGTGGCAGATGCCTCCGGACACGCTACCACAGCTGATGAGCTGATCATCATAATAGGTTTCCAAGAGCAACGCCATGTTGACATTATCTTTCCATATGCTGTTAGATAAATTGGCTTTATCTTTGCAGTCTTCGCATGGCGCGCAGTCAGGGTTCTCCAAAATGGGCCCAGTTTTGTACACAGAAATGTTCTGGAGAGTTTCATTTAGTACATAAATCTTGTTGACTGCTCCAACATAAACATGATGCTTGTATAAAACTACATTCTGAATCGGTGTTTCTGCAATGAAGTTAGGGAGATCATATTTTACACTCAAATTCATCTCTGATTTTTTAGCTGCTTCTTTGCATTGTCCATGGCTCCTCTGCAGCAAGGCCAACAGGAATACGATAAACCCATAAGGATATGCAGTAAAAGGCTTCATTGTCATAGATTTAATCTGTCACAATATATTTAAAGGAAAGAGCGGTTATATTTCATATACTAAATCATCAGTTTGTCAGTCAACAGAAATCCATTTCTAGGCTGCGTGTATTAGCTGAACTATTTCAGTGTAAGAAGTGTCGTAATCTTGCTTAGTGTCATTAATAGTCTCAAGCTAGAAACTGCTAGTTACTGTTCTTCACGGGTACCCACTTCACTGCTTTCAGAACAATTCACAGAAGGATTTTCTTATGATGAATTTTGCAAGACCCCTCAGTGTGTTGTACGGCAGCAGAAGAGAGACGACTACGTCCACATGGGCATTAAACCCATTAAAATCAGCTGACTGATACAATTTAGAATAACATGGGGCATAGGTAGGTGAAAGCAAATCTGCTCAGGACACCCAGGGCACAACTGCACACAAAGCATGGTCGCGCTTCAGTGTGTGGAAATAAGATATTTGGCAAGTTCCTCCAGGGGCTGAGCTCGTTCTCAGCACAGCTGCTCAAAAATGAGAAGTAGGAAAGACATAAAACAATCTGAAGATTTGAGCTGGAAGTGGGCTTCTCTTTTGTTCTGTTAACATTTTTGATTAACCAAGGAAGAGACTTTTCTCGACCAGACCAAAGGAAGAAACCTCTCTCTCTCCCTCCAGCTCCCCCAAATCACTATCTTTCATAAGGGCCTGGTTTGGAAAAAAAAAAAAAAGAACGTTTTTTTTCAGCCAGCTCTATTTCTTGGAATCGTCATTTTCCCCAGTGTTGACAAGGTTTTGTAATATATCGTTAGAATATTTTATGCATCATGTGGTGCCTGGCATGTGCAAGTTTTATTTTAGGCCTTGTACCACAGCAGTAAGTCACCCTGGTGAACCTTTACAAGATACAGACCTATCACTGTCTTGTAAACAAAGCAGTATCAAGTGACCTACAGCCATTAACTGATGAAATCAAAAAACCTAGCACTTTCCTTTTTTTTTTTTTTCTTTCACTTCTCCACACCATTGTTTGAAGTGGCTGGAAAAACCAAAGGCAGATGACTAGTGTGATATTTCACCCCCTCGGAAGATCAATTAACTGAACTGTGGTTATGAGCGTTTCGGTGCAGTGTCCACGCTATGCCATGTCACACCAGACATTTTCTGTTAATGTCATGACACAGTTGTTAAGCCAAATTTAGCTTCTTCATGGAGAAAACAATTATGCGTTCTAACAGCAATGTGATAACACACTTTGGGAAAATACTTATAGTTTGGCTGTAGTTAAGCAATTGTTGCCAATAGGGAAATGCTTATGACCACTGAAAGGATTTAAAATAGACAGCCTTGAAAATCACAAGCTAATAATAGGAATCTGTACTGACTTTTTATTTCATTAAGACTTCAAGCAAAATGAAAAGATGACTATAGACCAGAGCTGTTTCAGCTGAGTATGAACTCAGTGTTTTCACTAGATTGGTTAAAACAATCCATCAATACTCTCCTGCATTCCTTGTGACATTTTATTTCAGCGTCCACTGGACTCTTTCTGTGGCTTGCCTCATTAATTGCACAAAATAATAGGTTTTGGAAACAAAGAATTGTTCTTCCTCCCTGTTACCTGATAAGAATCGCGATTGAGAGCTGGGGATAAAAATCAAAACCACAGGCTATTTGCAGGTATTAGCTGGTAAGAACAAGTCACGCTTCTGGTATTAAGAAATGAAGAACTTCCTTCAAATCAACATTTTCTGATATTAATTAGTGATAACAGAATGCTGGAAACAAACCAAACATGGATTTAAGTTTAAAAGAAAAATAAAGGAAAGAAGAGTGGGGATATTGCTATAATTAGAAAATAGCCCCAGTAGACAGAGTGCTGACTTATACATTGTATAGGGCGGGAAACAGTTTTCTCACCCTCTGAAACTTCTTGCTATTACAGAATTTTTCCTGCTCTGTGCTGGGATGAAACCAAGAGCTTTCGGAGTTTGTGTGAAACACCCAGAAGTCACATGCGATCCAAGAACAAACACGTCCACGTCCCTGCCTTGCCAGCGCCCAGCGAAGGTCCCGGCAATGGGAGGAGTGGGAGCCTGGTCTGTCTGTCTGCCTCCTTTCAGCTGGCACTTCCACCCGAGAAACTGCTAAAAACTGATACATTCCTGCAGATTCACTTCTGACGAGTCAACATGTTCTGACAAATACTAGATTAAGCAGAAAATTCCAAAAGTGCTCTATTTCTGACACAACTCCGAGGCAGGTATACTGTTTACTGCAACGAGTTTAAACCCACGTAACAGAGGTGGCACTGCGGTGGAGAGAGAAAACAATGGGTGGGACAATAGTTAGATGAGGATGATCAACCGCCATTACAGGAAAAAAAGATACAGGGTTACCTGAGAGCCAGGCACCTACTTTGTTGCAGTATATCACATGCTACCTTCTGGTTTGAATATGTTCCCAAATAGATTTCCCACCCAGTATGCCCCTCAGGCTTCAGCTTGCAATCCTCACCATTCTTCCAGTGTCCGAAAAAGAGGATCTCTAGCTGTCCAACTCTAAATACCAGCGTGCACTGCAGAGGGATTTAGAGCCATAAATACTGGCTGACTTATCCTTTCCCTCAAACCACATCTTGGGATGTGAGGCCAGTATCCTCTGCCCACAGTCGGCTGGTGAAACGGCGCTGGTTTGAATCTATGCTCTGGAGACAGAAAACTCCTCCTTAGACTCCTTTAGCAAGTGAGATCAGAACCAAAAAGCTTAACAGCAAGAGCAAGGGTGGGATTTAATGTAATGCAAAGGATGCCAGGAATAATAGGTACTGTATTTCACCACTACAGGAAGGAAAATCTGAGCAATAAGTGAAAACCAAGTCATCTTTGCTCTCATATTTGAGCTCCATCATTGTGTCTTCCTTTGTATGCTTTTGAGGTGTTTCAAGCATCCTCCCAGACAGAAAGCTGCTGATTCCCACCTATGGGAAGCTCAGGCTCAGATTTATGGGCAGCTCTAGGGAAGATGGTTCCCCACAATGCCTGTCTCCAGCACATTGTGAATCTTTCCTCAAGGTGCCTGAAATCAGAAGGCATGTGCTCTACTATGAGACATTTATAGCTTAGGGACGACATAGGAGTTATGTGAAGAGTACAATGTGCAACTCCTTTTTTTAGGTATTTGTTTTTCCACAGTCCTCACATCATATAAACTCTACTGTTCCTCAGTGAGACTCCGGTGACGTTCGGTGCCTCTTTTTATCTGTATTTGACCCAGGGTCTTTCTCTATTCCATTGCTGCAGCCTGCAGCACAGAGCTGCTTTTTTGTAACCTCCAGACCAGGTCATTGCAAACACCCTTCACTTGAATACATCCTGAAGAAGCAGGAAAGCTTTGGAGAATTAAAAATTCAGTCCCACCTCTCTTCAAAGGTCCAATAGTCCCCAGTTCTCCTTAGCACATACTCACATGTAATTTCAGTTGAACTTAAGCACTTAAAGAGTTTTGCTGAATTAGAACCAAAATACTTAGTCTATAGATAGACTTTTTGAATACAGGTCAAAGAACTAGTTGCTGCCTATTGGTTGCAAAAGGAAAACAAGTAATCCCTTTGTTTCTCTACTTGGTTTGAATGATGGATGTTGTTCATTCTTTTCTGAGCTTCCTCTGACTTGTGTGTCAGTGTGTCTTTCATGTATCTACAGAAGACTTGTGAGCTTTGGCCTGTCATAACCAGCAGCAAGCAATAGCTGTGGATGGATTATTTCTTTTGTAAGAGATATTTTCAAAGGCTGTGTCATGATGTGCTCATTTTTCCATCCCTCAGCAGACACTAGCTTGTATAACTGATGAGAAAATGCATTTTGGTCAACCGTTGCAAGTGGCTAGTAATGATGTGTCATATTAGTGTGCCTGGCAACCTCAAGTGCTATGGCTGATGCTTCCCACCAGGCTTGGTCTTGAGTGTTTGTGTACCATTAATGGCTTCCCAACAGCAATCTTTTTCCTACAAGTTTCATTCTCCCTAATTATGGCCTGGGTGATAATTTGTAAACATTGAACATCATGTCTCTTCTTCACACTGTTTGCCACCGTGCTGACAAGTCAGGCCTGGCCTTATTGTGGAATAATGTTCAAGCTGTCATATGCAAGGAAGCCAGAAAACACAGTCACGCTTGTTTTCCTAGCCCTCACTTCAATAACTCGGTTCCCGTTTAACTCTGATCACAAAGCACGCCGCGGATCTGCACACGCTAAGACAACACGCTGACATGGAAGTGTTTTGTAGGTTGTTTGGTGCATCTCATTTTTCCTTGCTTTATTACAGAAAAGGAAATGACAGGGTCCTGCGTATTCTGTGTAGAGCGTGTTTGAACAAGAATACATTTAGTCCTCAGATAGGTCATTTCAGGTTAGGTAACAGCAGAGCCACGTTAATTCATATTTCAAAAACTCTATTCTCAGCAAACGGTAGCCTTTTCCCCTCTTTAAGGAACTATTTGATAGTATAGTTTTATATTTTTTCCAGTGGGATAGTACACCTTGTTACTTCGGGCTCTGACAGACTTGTGGTGGCAAATTTATGTAGGATAACCATAGTGATTACTGCTCCTGAGAGTTCAGTTTGCTTTGCAATCCTGGACTGAAATGTGTGCCAGTTCAGGACCTGATTCCCTGTGGATCAGACGCCCTGCCATGGAGACAGCAGCATCATTTACCAGGACAGGGCAAATGAGAGGGGGAGATGATAACAGCTCCATCCATCCAACTTTAATCTACTGTTGCAAATCTGTCACAGCACTGGCATCAGCTTCAACAGACTAAGCCCACAGCGGACGTGTTTTCACCAGACTTTTCAATTAACCGATTGCATCTGTAGACAAGATTGGTCATACGTAAAACACATACTGAGGTTAACCTATTTTCTATGTCCACCATTTAAAAATGTTCTTAAATCAGAATTGCTAACCTGAATTGGCTAACTTGACTTAAAATAACAGAGAGAACAAGGAAATTTGAGAGAGTAA